GGCGTTGTCAAAGTTTTCCTTGCACCGCGCAAGGAAACTTATGACTCTGATCGGGTCCACTCCGCTCAACTTGGACTCGCCCATGACGACGAGGAGGTACTGCACCCTCTTACGGGTGGTGGCATAAACCTTGTCATCCACGTTTTGGCCAGTGTCCACGAGACGGTATGCTCGGTAGTTTCAAGCACCCCTGAAGCGGTGGTTCGTCGGTTTCCAAACAGGAAGGTGTTTCTGTTTGGGGCCGAGCGTTGGCATTGGTACCGTGAGGGACTCCGACTCGGAATCAGATTCCGAGTCAGAACTAGACGACGAGGATGAACTCGAATGATACGAGGACGATTCCTCGGGTGGCGGGCCTTTGCCCTTATGTCCCTTGCGACGGCGATCCTCGTCCTTCTTCCGACTGGGTTTGGACTTCTTTCGTCGCCCATCTCCATTGTCGTCTGAACCTCCCCCAGAGTCAGGGTTCCCTCCCGGTACATTCCGGGAAGGTAAATCACCTTCAAAGTGGATGGGTCCGGCGGAGGCATCTTGGCGGGATGCTCCAGCCGTAGCCAACAACGCCGCGTGATTGGCGGAAAACTGGGGGACGGTCGCCATAGAGGGGACCGGAATCCCAGCGGCTTGTAGCGCCGGAAGAGTAACGTCTGAAAAGAGCAAGCTCTTGTTCAACGGGGGTAACTCCGCAACGGGAGTGGTGGTAGACCTTTCACCCGGTATGGGTGTCGTAGAAACTCCGGCCGTAGTCGCAGGGTTAACAGCAGCCATGGCTGGGGTTTGCGTCGCCGATCCGACCTGCGTAGCCGGTAACGGATCGGGACGCAACGTCTTAAGGACGGAGACTTCCTGCCGGAGTGTATTAAGCTCCGCAGTTAAAGTGACAATCTCTGTTTTCAGGGGGAGGACGGCCTCGTCGACACTGGCCGAGATATCTTTCTGCCAGGCGCGAGTTAAAACGCTTTCAAATGCGGAGAGCCGATCGCGCCCTTGCGCGGATTGAACATCCGCTTGTGCGGCGATGGTTTCCACAACAAAGCTGTTGAGGCTTTCTCGCAGCGCCGGCGATTGTGCGGCGAGTTTTTCCGCTACAGTAGTGAGCGTAAACCGTTCGGCTTCTCGGAGTGCCTCGCGGCAACTCCGAGTGATCCACGCCGCGGTGGCGGGTGGTACGTCTCGGGGACGAGTTTCTCGGGAGCTCTCGGAACCGGACACCATGTCTTGATAACACCTGTGAACGATGGAAGGGAAACTTTCGAGAGAAAGAGAAAGGGTAAGAGAAGCTCCGCAGATTTCTAGGTCGGGAGACCAAAATGTCGTGCACTGAGGCCACGTGGGTCAGCCTCAGGCAGAGCACGCGTGTTCGGAACGCGGGGTGAGTGGGATACGGGAGACCACCCGGTGATAACCGGCAACAGGGTCCGGGCGCGCGTGCGCGGTAGGTAGAGTGGTAGGAAAGAAACAAGGCACGGAGCGTAGCAAGCAGTAAGCGGGGCGAAGCGACAGCGAACGCGCGTAGGGAGGAGGAGATTTGGGGAAGTGGATGGGCTCGCGTAGTGTCGCACAGAGTGGGCGAGTACCGGCGCGAGGCTACTACCGAGAATCCAGAAACATCGGAAAGAACCCAAGGCTTCGTGTCGTTTACTTTTGGGGCGGACGTCGACTATATAGTAGTCGCCGTCGGCAATAATAATAATAACCAGCTAAATAGAGTGGTATGACAACCTTCGACACGCGGGGTGGACACGGGTACACGGGTACACGTGGAGTATGACACGGGTATACGTGGGGTATGACACGGATATACATGGGGTATGACACGGATACACGTGGGGTATGACCACGGATACACGTGGGGTATGACCACGTGTACAACGCGTCCTGTCATGCAACAAAGCGGTACAGTGCTCTACAGAAAGTACAGTCCATAAACCGCACATTCTCCTAAAGTAGTTTTCTACTATGACACAATCAGAAGATACTTGGAGATTGTAGTTCACGTCGTCCAATGACAGCCTTGAACGTGCCGAAGTTCGAATTGGGTGCACCACACGTAGATCTTCGGCTGCACCTTGAATTCCCTTGTCCGCCAGTATGGCCCAGTAGTCATCCATAAATTCGCTCAATTGTCCCTCATCCGTGAACCGCAAAACACGTACCCCCTTTTTAGACGCCTCCTCATGAAAGGGTCTATTACCACGAAATATCTCCAGATCCGACACAGAGCCTGGATAGTGCTCCGTGCACCCAATAGCCAGACTAGTAGGCAGTACCGAAACTTCCGCTTTTTACTCATACAGCTTATGCTTACAGAAGAAGTATCGCTTCCCCTCTGATATATTTCCACTTGGACGATTGCTCTGCTGAAAAGTGACGTCGACAGCATATCTCGCGTATTCAAAATTCGAAAACACCCGGTCCTCCAGACGACACTTGGCCATTGTCCACTTTTCCTCGACGCGTGCCACACATATATCATACATGTATTCTGATATCATACGTAGAAATCCAGTTATTAAACGTTCGAATGTAGAACATTTAACAGAAAATAGACGAGCTGGAAAGTTCCATTGCTGACCATGCTTGAGTACAGTAAGTGTCATAAAGAGAACATCCTGGGCCTTGTACTGTGTTCTTTTACCTCTGCCAACATTCCAATTCTTTGACACGTAGTCTTCAATCATAACCCATAGTTCGAAGAATTGAGAGGAATCAAAACTGCACATTGCCTTAATAGATTGAGAACCTCCGTCATTGTAAAACGTGTCATAAATTGGACAATTGGAGTCGTTCTCATCATCGCTGGCGACCACGTCGTCATCAATGTGATCTACGATTTCATTGACGTGTCGGTTGGTGATGTCCGAAAGAGCCTGAACAGCGCGGGAGGGATTCATTTTCGGAATACTAAAAGGAGTGGGAGAAATGAGGAGCAGCTGCAAGAAGTGGTTTTTCTATATCAACTGCGCAGTTGTTCCATTTTATAGTGTTTAGTTTGAGTAGACTGAAAATGCGAGGCATATCTCACAAAAAGGCGGGCTTTCCCGTTTTTGAAAGTTGACTCGCAATTGCAGATGTGATGCACACCTTAGGCTATAATCTGCGTTGCTGCATTATCTGCACACTTAGTTTACTTTTCTACTGATATTTCCCAAACTCTAAGTGCTTTCACGCAACTGCAGTACTAGAGGTACTGTACGTAGTTGTGGTACAATTGCCAAGTGGCGCTACTGTACTAGGCGGGTACCAGGGGCTCCGCCGAATACAGTAGTAAGATTTTAACCGATACGGTACATACGTGGCCAGCACGTGTAGATGTGGCCACGTGGGAGTCCAAGTGTAGTTAGTGGCACCAGCTAGTGCAGATGTACACGTGGTGCGCAACCGATCGGTGGGTTAGTACTGTAGTACAACGGGCGAAGGCAATCGCACCACCGCTGCCGCCCCGGGATACAGTACGATGGGCTGTAAGCGCGAGAAGAACTGTAAGGAGTTATATTTACAGCACACGGCCGGTGCGGAGTACAGTGGTACCCCGCTGGTTACACGTGTAGGATCCCAACGGTGAGTAATTAGTAATTAGTAGTTAATGGCACAAATTAGCCAATTTAGCACAGTAGCTGGTATGCAGTAAGTAACAGCTACTGTAGCGGGACAGGTGTCCTGGCGTCCCACTTAGGGGTTAAGACCGGAGGCACCTGCCCCGTTCTAGTAAACGGCAGGCAGACTCGCCTCCCTTCCCTTTACGGCTACTTGCTATCCCGTTCCGGTTTACCTTTTAGTCTCAGGCTTCTAACCCGTGACCGGCCGTCCGGATCTAACACTACCGACCGGCTGCGCGTCACCTTCCACGTGAGCCTTCCCTCTTTTCGAGTCCATCCGTACGGTCTGCGTTTGCGCGTGGGTTACCCAGCGGCGCGCGCTCCCTTACATCTAACCCCCCTCGTTCCGAGTGGTCGGGACGAAGGTAGTTATACCACAAGTACAGTAGTCATTTTTAGTTGCCGTAAGCTACAGTAAGCTGGATACAGTATGTACAGCTACTGTAGTCCGTCCGGGGTCACCGCCCTACTAGGGGGTATAAGATAGGGGGCACCGGGCTGGAGGTAAACCGAGGAAAGCACGCGTCCCCTTACTTCCTCCCTAGTCCTTTTACCGTACGGTTAAGTAAGTCCCTCAGGTTTCCAGCTCGCCACCGGTCGTACTGCTCTACACCCCAGTACGACTGCGCGTGTCCAGTGCGGTGTACCTCCCTTGTCCAGTGCTTCTTACCGTTCCGGATTATTCTACTTGACACTCCAGTGTAGCGGTCCCCCAGGCTACCTCATTTTTAGGTACAGCCTGTCCTTTTCCGTTTACGGTTTAGCGTCCCTACGGTTGTACCACAGTAGTTACCCTACTACATAGGCAGTAGTTGCTCGGCCTGCGTGTGAATCTGAGAGAGCAAGAAGAGTTCAGTAGCAAGCAGACAGCCTCCTCGCAAACGCTGTCCGACTGCAAGGACATCGCAAGGGCTCCGGCAGTCGGTCGTAGGCCTGTCCATTGTCACGTTAGTAAGCTCTTTATTTTTTCTCTTTCTTGGAATTCCCTGAAATCCCACAGACACGTATGCACAGGCCTGGAAGAACTGGGTATGAGCCTTTTGTAATATTTGTACTGTACACAGTAAAACGACAACTGCAATACACTATCGATATCACTTTGAGTCAAAGCAATTGCACAGCCGAGTATGCTGACAGCTTGTAGTACCTTCCTGTACAGTGGTGGCAAAAACTATAGGACATTCGGGCTTCTTGGGTCCAATGGGTCCAATTTTAAGTAAACATGACATGCATTGCTGTGTGTCTGACACGTGCCGCTCTGAGTAGGAATATCAAAACAGAATAGAAACGGGCAAGCAGTTACCAAGATATCCACCTTTACGCGAGAAACACCCCGAAAAACTATAGGTACACATTTGTGCGAACGTTTGTTGTGAGTAAAAAGACAAGAGAAGGGAGGTCTCAGTAGTCTATCTTCTTTCCTTTGGTAAGCAAGACCTCTACACACCTTTTCTGCATAGATTTCACCAACGCATCCAGTGTCTCATTGTTGATCTCATCCCAGGCATCTCGAATACATTCTGACAGAGAATCCACGCCGTTAAACTGCCTCTGATGCGAATAAACACTTGTAACCAAGATACCCCACAAGTTTTCGATGGCGTTGAGATCAGGCGAATAGGGCGGCCACTCTAAAACAGAGATAAAGTTGTCAAAAAGCCATCTCTTAGCCACTCTAGCACGGTGACAAGGAGCACCGTCCTGCATAAAACCCCAGGAAAGAGGAAGGTCTTCAGCGAATGGCAGCAACGTATCTTCAAAAGTGACGTACTTCGTTCCATCTTGCTTCCCCCCCAGAAATACCAGCGGGGACTTGGAAGTGCCAGCGAAACAGGCCCAAACCATAACGCTCGCTCCACCACTGTGCCTTTTCGAGAACCACTTCTTCTGCTTTCTTAAATCATGCCACTTATACGCTAACTCGTCTGGTCCGTCGAGATTAAACTTCTTCTCGTCCGACCAGACCACTGAGTTGCACTTTCGCTCCTTCCAAGTCATGCGTTCAGTTGCCCACTTCACTCTCAGTTTTTCATGATGTTCCTTCATAGCAGGCGTTCTTGCGATGCGTTTGTAACGCAGACAAGCTGTCTCTTGAAGCAATTAACGGACACGGCGGGGCTTGACGGACAATTGCAGGGCCTTCACGTAGCTTTCAACAAATGCAGCCGCTGAAGCTTCGCGAATGATACGCCGCTTGTCCGCGTCCGTCATTTTCCGTGGCCTTCCGCCTTTGTTTTTCTGATTGTAGCTGTTCTCATCTCGAAGATAGGATGTAACAACGTTATTTGAGCGTCCTAGCTCATCTGAAACGTGAGAAACAGTCCAACAGTTCGATTTGTGCGCTAGAATTTGACCTTTCTCGAAATCAGACAAGCGCGACTTGTGAGGCATTTTAGAGCGTGACAAAAGCGCTCTACATCGTTTTTGCGCTTCTCTACAGCTTCATAGATGCCTAATGTATGGCTTGTCAAAGTTTGGCGCGCATCAGAACAATACTTCGCGCGCTTTTGGAGTTCGCACAAATGTGTACCTATAGTTTTTGCCAGGTGTTTTTCGCGTAAAGGAGGATACATTGGTAACTGCTTGCCCGTTTTTTATTCTGTTTTGATATTCCTACTCAGAGCGGCACGTGCCAGATACACAGCAATGCATGTCATGTTTACTTAAAAATTGGACCCATTGGACCCAAGAAGCCCGAATGTCCTATAGTTTTTGCCACCACTGTACTGCCGAGTATGCTGATAGCTTGTAGTACCTTCCTGTACTGTACTTGCAGGGCTTTTATTGCTTTATCGCAGATAAAAGCGTGAAACTCACCTCTGGAAATAAACTGACCGCTGCAAGTAGGGTAGAGCATGTGATCACAAGCATCAGGCCTCCTCGCTCTTTGCACACAGTTTACCACAGGATCTGCAGTGTTTACGTAGGCGTTGGATGCAAGGACAATTTCCCAGAACAAAGTGAAGGTAACAGGAGGCTCACAAAGAGGCTCGATTTGAAGTCAGTGTCGGACTTGATAGCAGTGCACGTCTATTCAGTATGTGCATGGAGAGAAGCCGGGAGGCGTTGAGAGTCTCAAGTTGAAATAGCTACAATTCTTCATGCCAAGAAGTGCTATTAAAGGCTTTACGCACCAAGATTTCTGGAATGTATGTGACAAATACTCTGTAAAGAAAATTTGCAGTAAGGTCAATTTGCCACACGTTCCATTTTAGTTTACGCATGGACTGCGCGGATCGTCATATGAGTATTACGAAGGAGTATTACGACGACAGCCTACAGTAGGACGCTAGTCCCATTTTCCACTGTTGAGGCAACATGCCACACCACGGAAGACAACGCGACCACTCTGTGTCCATCGCAGCAGTGCGATTCCGCAAATGGCGTGTTGCCCTTCGCACAATCGCACATCGCCGCCTCTCCGCTCCGAGATCTACATACTGAGGCGCTTAAGCACGCCCAGCAGGTGGCGGGATATGGAGTTTCGGTTTGGACGGCATGGGGTGCAGCTCTCTGAAATTTTCTGGGAGGGTATAGAGCAGATGCTCCAGGATCGCGTTCAATTGATAACAGGACCCATGCATGCCTCTTTCATTTGCGAACGGGCATCAGGCTACGCCCATGCTGTAAAGGAAAAGTGTGACGCGCTTTCTAACTGCGTTGGTTTTATTGACGGCACTGTAATCGCGATTGCTCGGCCATGCGGTAGCGCCGTTCAAAACGTTGCCTACAATGGACACAAGCGCAAGCACGCTCTCAAGTATCAAGCCGTTATCGCGCCTGATGGATTATTGCTTCACGCGGCGGGTCCCATGGAGGGACGGCGCCATGATTGGACACTTTACTGTAGAAGTGGTCTCGATGAGGAGCTGGAGGAGGTCATGGTGGTGGATGGTTTGCAGTATTGTCTGTACGGGGACTCAGGATATAACGAACGCAACTTCTTGGAGGTCCCCTTCGAGGGGTCACAATTGACCGGATACCAGAATGCCTTCAACAAGGCTATGTCCAAGGGAAGGGTTACTGTTGAATGGGTTTTCAAGGAAGTCAAGCTTTGCTGGTCGACGGTAGAATATCGTCGAAAGATGCGAACGGGGGAATCTCCGGTCGGGGCACTTTACCTCGCTGCGATGCTGCTTACAAACTTTCGCAATTGCGTATATCCCAACACCATCTTGCAGTACTTCCTCTGCAAGCCTCCAACTCTCGAAGACTACCTAGCTCACAAAAACAACTCAATGCTAGCGCAGGAGAGCGAAGAGTGAGGACAAAGTCCGCGTGCCGAGCGAAGCGAGTTGCTGAGCGTAGCGAGAGCGGACTATGTCCGTACCCCCGCAGGGAGCCCTGCGCGAGCAGACGCTAGGCCGGTTTCGTTGTATCTTCTCTAGTCGGAACGCTCCGTCGAGCCGTAAAATGACTGTTCAGACCCGTTTGTCGAGGCCTAGCTACTTCCCTGCGCACCCATTATGGAATCCATCATGATCTTCATTTTGTTTAGATCAAGCTCGTTTTGCGCTTGGCGCTCCATACGTCTCTCCTCACGATCCTTCTGCCGTTCCTCTGTCTCTCGATCCAGACGATGGCATTCGAACTGAAGGCGCTCGCGTTCAAGCTCAATATGCGCCATGTCGGCATCGCGCAGCGCGTTTCCGAAACCCTCAAGCTCCCCTTCTATCTCGTCGTGAGCACGTGCTTGGCGACGCGGATTCTTGTGGGCACTTCCATTTCCATCGACCTTCACGATGTCATCCGTTTCATCTCCTTCCAGGCTGCTTACTCCACCACTGCCCTTGCAGGTCAGAGCCCGCGCGACGAGTTCCTTCCCAATACGCTCTTTGCGAGCTTCTTTCGCCTCGGCGGCAACGACTTCTGCTGTCTTAGCCTTCTCGACGTCATTCATTGCTTCTGCCATCATAGAGAGCAGCTCGCCGAGCTCACCTTTCTCTCCACCCACACCCGAAAGCCGACTATCCTTTGCATCACGACGGCTGAAGGCATCCTGGATCTTTTTGTAGCGATCCTGGATGGTCTTCGCCGTCACCTTGACCGATAGATCCTTGTTCGAGTTTGCCTTAGTCGCGGCGGTGGCGAACATCTTCTGAATTTCGCCATAGGCAGCGAGGTGGGCCTTCGATGCGGCAACCTCCCGCGCGATGATCAGGTCGTCGCCAGCCGTAAACTTAGGGCGGCGACCGGCCTTACGCGCGGGAGACGGTGGGATAGGAGGAGCGGGCGCGGCAAGCGCCTCCGTCGGTGGTGATTCCGGAACGAACGCCGGGCCTTTTGATGAGAACTTCGGCCTCGGGGGTTAAAGGGGGACTAGCATCGGGGGAAGGGTGGGGAGGACTAGGGGTGGACACCTATGCCATGCTGAAGGAGAGGGAGAGCGGAGGATAGAGCTTGGATGGGGGAGCTGCGAGCCGTGACACCTTTCTGCAGTACCGTTCTCCCGCCTTTTTGTGTACACGTTTTATGAATCAGATTGCAGAAGGACTTCACTGTGAAGTCACATTTCAGTAAACTTTGTCATGGCCTCGGCCAGGATTTCATTTAGTGTAAGCAGTTTTCGTCACAACTTTAATTTTTATGCAGAAAACCGTGGTGCGTGAAGTCTCTATTCTCTCAGCTTGTCACACTTGTTGGCAAGAAACTGCTCCAAGATTGGTTGCCTCATCTCCTACATCGGGAGAGCCACGTGTTCAACGCATGTCATAAAAGCATCAAGCAATCGTCGAAAATTTCTAACACGTCAACGTGAAAAGCTCCTCACCTCACTGCCAGATCAACGCCTTCTTCCACGCCTCCTCCCGTCCCCCGGAATCCACCCGTGCAACATCGAACCCTCGGCCCCTAGCGCCAAACCTCCGAAGCAATCCCTGCCGAAAGCGCCCCTCCCGGCGAACAGCCCGCAACCCCTGCCCGTGATGCGTGGTCTGTAGCTCGCATGCCGCGCCTCGCCACACCCCCCACGCGGCGCGCGCGTCTACCGCCGCTGCCGCTGCTGGTCGCCTCGCGCGCGCTGCCGCTCGCGTGCCGGACGTGCTCGCTCGCGGTGCTGCAAGCCGTGCTCGGGACGCCGCGTCGCTGGCGCATCCTGCAGGTGCTCATCGCCGCCGCCGCGGCAGGCGCGCCCGGCTTGGGCGTGCTGCGGGCTTTCGCCGCGCCCCTCTTGTGCTCGTGGGCATATGGTTTCGCAGCTAGGCTGTTCCTGCCCGCGCACGCCAGGAGCCTCAAGTTTTGGAAGAAGGTCGTGCCGATATATTTGGGGTACAAGGCCACGCAGATGATGCTCGCCGTGCGCAAGGCGTCGCCGCAAAGAAGAGCGAAGACGTGGAATAGACGGCATGAGTGGGGCGCGGAAAAGGTGTATAACTTGTGCGTGGAGATGCGGGGGTTCTATCTCAAAGATGGTACGTGGATGCGGAATTGCGGATGAGCGAGGCGTGCGATGCGAGGACGAGGTTCTCTGACATGATTGTGGGATGTTTCTTTTTTCTTTTGCTGTTTAATTGTTGACGACGAGAAGGTCAATTTCTCGGAGCCAGAAGCGACCTAGTACCGATGGCATGGTGCGACTCTCTTCGTCGCTTGCAAGACCGGGTGCCGCCGGTGTCCTTTTCGCAAATTGAAAGGACTGTGCGGGAAGAGTATCGTATAAACAGGGTGAGTCAAATTTTCCGGAGCATTGACCCTGTACCGCTGGCGTCCGCGACGATCGCGCAAGTCCACCGCGGGGAGATGCCTGACGGGAGTGCGATTGTGCTGAAGACGCAATACCGGGACCAGGAGCGGCTGTGCGAGATGGACCTGCTCAACTTGAAGCGGCTGGCCAAGTTTTTACAAAAGCATGATATGTCGTTTTTCGATATGGACTCTGTGGTGCGCGAGTTTGAAAAGCAGATTCCGACGGAGTTTGATTTCGTGCGGGAGGCGGAGATGATGACGAAGATTGGGGAGAATTTGAAAGAGGCCGGGCTGAACGATGTGGTGATTCCTAAGGTGCTCCCGGGGTTGGTCTCGAGGCGGACGCTGGCAATGACGTTCGT